CATATGAGAGTGGATACAAAGTATGAACATTTTCACATGCTAATACCCATCAAAAAGCATCCACTATCCACTAAGGAAGAGACAAGCAGTAGACAAAGTGACTTAGCCAGATGACATTAGTCTTCAGCATTGGGCATGATGTGCATATTAATGGAGTGACCACGTGGCAGAGGTGGGTGGGACTACACATACACCCAACAGCATAGACTTTCACTTAACCAAGGCCAGTCTCACTGCTGCTTCCTGAAAATGTGGAGACTTCCAGCAACAGAAACCAATGTTGAGTCTCTGATATGGCCTTATTTCCCAAAAGGACCAACAGGCCACTTGGTGGCAAGTTAATGACATTGGGCTCCTTTTATTCTGGAAGGGCCAGTAGTTTCTCCTCACTGGGACAGAGTCTTATTCCAAGTATGGGTTTGCCTTTCTCACCCACAGAGACTAAGCCAGCATCAGTGTCCAGAAGCTCATGAAGTGCCTAATCCATAAGCCTGTATTCCTAAATACATAGCGTCCAAACAGGGGACACCCCTCACAGCAAAGGAGGTGCAGGAGTGGGCCCATGGTCACACAATCCACAGGTCATATCACATACTGCACCGTCCAGAGGCGGCCAACCTGATAGAGCCTATTGAAGGCACAGCCGAATCACCAGCCTACAGGTGATAGTCTACAATAATGGGGTGCTATCCTCCAGAATGAAGAATAAATAAATCTAAATCAGCTCTCTACAGTGCTATGTCCCTAATAAAAATACATAGGTCTAGGAACCAAGGGTAGAAACAAAAATCATCATTCTCACCATCATTCTCAATGGCCCTCTGGGGAAATTTGTGTTTCCTGTCCCCACAAACCTGGACTCTGCAGGGTTAGAAGTCCTTGTCCCCAAAGGGGACACACTCTTGCCAGAGGACAGAGCAAGAGTTTCATTGAACTGTGGATACCACCTGGACACTTTGGACTCACTGTGTCTCCAACGGGTGAGAAGAGGAGTTTCCATCTTGGCAAGTGTGATTAACTGCTCAGCAGGAGGTAGGGCTGCTTTTATTCAGCAGGAACATGGAGGAGTATGTGTAGAAACTAGGTGACCCACTCAGGTGCCTCCTTAGCCCCTGCTACAAGGGAGATGTATAGCAACCCTTGCCTTAGAAGGTCTCAGACCCTGCAGGAGTGATGATTTAAGTCACACCACCAGGTAAGCCATCAAGATCTGCCAAGTTAACAGCTGAGGTTGAGGTGAAGTAGGAATGGATTGTGGTGGAGCGAGATGATAAGGACCTGCTGGAGACTAGAGCTTGTCCCACTGGTCTCCCTCTTCTTTCTCCTCAGGAGGAGAGGGCCACAGGAACAGTGGAGGAGAGAAATAGATCTGTGCCATGTGAGGGGTGGACTGTGGCAGCCGTGGAGTGAACTATCCCTGTCTTTTTTCAAGAGAGAACCTGCTGTGAGGGCTCTAGTTAGCTGACGCTTCCAGCTGCCGTGAGTTCAGGATCCGCCATTGCATTCATGCTGCGGCCATGCTGGCCCTGGCCTGCTCCCAGCCAGGCACTAAGCAAGGGCACTAGGGCTGGGCCAGTCCTACTCAATTTGGGTCTCCTTTAAGGAGAAATCTTTGCTGTGGAGTGCCATGTTGGTCTAGCCAAGACTTTCTCAGAGCTTCACTTCAATCTGAAGACTTCCTGCCACACCCCCCTTCCTTCTGTCTCTCTCTCCACACGTGTCGGATCTGGATCATGGTCCGAAGCTCTCCCCACTTACTCCTGTTTCCTCTCCCCTCGCCCTCCATAGGTTTTTCTCACAATAAGTCTCTTGGCCTCCTAATTCTATCTTGGCATCTGCTCCCTGGAGAATTCGAACTGACATAATGGATTTGGGCATGTCCATTAATTTTTTTCTTCATCTTCAAAGGAAGAGGTAGGTTGGGTAGGTAGGTAGAGCTAGATCATCATCCTAAGTCCCAATTTAAAATTTCTGTAGTTTTTAAAAGTAAAATGGGAGGAATAATTAGAAAATTATTGATTATTCTTTCTTCATATTTGAAACAAACAAGTTTCTTGTTTACCTAATAAAATATATGCTTGGTTATCAAGTCTTTTTTACTCATAAATTAAGGAAATCATAAGGTAAAACCAACTTCTAATTTCCAAAGGAAATACCTTTTATCAAGCCTGAAAGCAAAATTTAAACTAAAATTTAAACCACAAATGTGTTAATTGTTCTCATCCTAGCCAAAAACTGGACCTGGTACATGTTGCTTGAGGAGTTTTGTTTTACAACTTGGGCTTTAAGTAATATTAACTACTTTTTATTTTATTTCTCCATCATGTACTGACATAATCTCTCAATGAGGTGAGACTTTATACTGCAATCAGATAAACTTTCGTCTTGGTCATATAATTTTTCTGCTGCTCCAAAGCATGTCACCAAAGAAAGCAAATTAGGACAAGGTTAATTCCATGTTTACTAGACAGCAACCAGAACATTATGAATGCTCAATTGATGTTTAGACCATATTAGTGCACTTCTTAGCAAATTTATGTTATTGAAAAAAATAATGCACCCTATTCAGAAGCAGTTCTTTTTTACTAAAGAAAAATGTGTTGGCAACTGCTTCGTTTCCATGGATTTATAATTCTAATAGGTCCTGAAAATAAACCCAATCTTTGCCAAAAATCTCACTTGTGCTTTATATCAGTAACATGCCCTTTATTCCTGCTTATGCATTTGGGAAATAGAAAGAAAAAACAGCCCAATTAGTTAAAAATCCACTAATTAGAACTCTAAAGAACTGATTTTTGGGGAGGGGAGCTGTGTGGGAGCTGACACCTAACATACTTTATTTTTATGAAATAGAGAAAATTTCATGAAATCATGTGAAATTGAAGAAAGAAGCATTTTCTAGAATATGCGTGGAAGTGTATAGTTCAAATATAAGCCATTTTCAATATCTAATGGTGTTAAATCACTATAGATTTCAATTCACAAGGAAGATATAATTATGTCCAAGACTTATTCTACCTAAAAAAACAAATGTATTATACATTTAATTCTTTAATTCCGGTGAATGCAGTAAAAGGAGGTATGAGGAGATTTAACCTCCAGTTAACTAGAAAATCAAATCAACAACTTGAATCCCATTCCTTAAACAAGTGAGTAAGTTTTAACCTTAGCTGTCTGTTCACATGACCTGGAGAGCTTTCCACATTCTCAATGCCCACGTCCTACTCCAGATCAGTTAAATCAGAATTACTGGGTTTGGTTTTTTGTTTGTTTGTTTTCGGTTTTGTCAACTCCACAGGTGATTCTGATGTGCTACCAAGACTGACCCACAGCCTTGGAAACTACAGTTATTTTAAGTTTTAAACCAGATTAGGTTAAGTTACAAATTAAATCTCTACTACTGGACAAAAGCATATTTGCTGAGTGACCTTTAATTTTACAAGAGTTCTGGAAAAAGAATGAAATCCATTTGGATTATAATATTATATTTGCTGTTCTTTCTATCCTGGGAGTGGCCATGTAACACAGTTCTAGGCACTGAAATAAAAGGAGACCCTCTGCTATATCTTTTTCTTTTGGGATAAAACAACAGAGCCTGTTGGGGTTTGGGGAAAATGGATTTCATTCCTTTGCCCATATTAGACCTGAACTGGAATATAAATCCTGAAACTGAGCACATCTTGCAATCAGAAAACAAGCATAAGAATAAAAGTCAACAGGTTGAGGATGGCAGTGGAATGTAGAAACAGAAAGAGCTTGGGTCTTTGTTGACTTTGTTGAGTCATTGGATTACAGCCACCAACTACCTTCAGAATTTTTTGTTGTGTGAAGAAAATTATTGCTTACGCCACTATTAGCTGAAATTTCCATTACTTGCAGCCAAAAGTATTTCTAATGAATACACCTTGATTCTCTCTCAAGCTATGAATCATTCAACATTTACTATTGGCTAAGAACTTTATAGATATTGTCACTTTTGAGCCACACAGCAACCCCCCAAAATAAGTGTTATTTCCATTTTACATATGCAGAAATTGAAGCCCATACAAGTCAACTACCTTGCCCATGGCCATTCAGAATTTAGATTTCAAGCCAGATTGATTTGATTCCAATGCCAGTGCTCTTAATTGCATCACTATAGTGCTGTTGTTAACCTCTTGGATGTGTGCTTATCAAGCTGCTCTGATTAAATTGTATGATATATCATGCAAAAAGAGCATTTTATGCTTATAGAAGTACATATAGTGGTCTACATTTAGATAATTAAAGAATTAATGGGCTTACTTGGTTAAAAGCAAAATTACAGCATAAAATTTTAGGGAACTGTTCTGCAAAACTTCAAGAAGATACTTTCAACACACTCCAAAATAATAAAAAAAAAAACACACTCAATTCACTTTCACAGGAGACTTCATAAAAACATTATTAGCAATAATCCAGGGCGTTGGTACGTGATAACATTTTTCTTCTCCATGCTGAAAAGGCAAATGAATTGTAGGATTTTGGTGTATGTGTTTAAGGCAACTACTTGGATATGTTTTCAAGGATATGAAACGCTACTGGGGAGTTGGAAACAAAAATGTATCCCTTCCCAGGATTACGGGGTAGGGTGTTTGTGACTTTTTTCCTTTGGGGCCAGTCTTTACTTGTCAGGTGTTTCAAGGTGTCTAATATCCCCACTATGATACTACTTGCTACTGCTGATGGGCCTCCTACAATTCAAGTTCTATATTCTCTTCTCTTAGCATTTACTGGAGAATGAATGGATTAGAGAAGGCAGTACAGAGACAGCCATGTTGAGTCTAGAGTCAGGCTCACTGGACCAGAGCTACGGTATTTTTCCTTTCTCCATAAAATGAGGAGAAAAGACTTACTTCACAACTGTTCTTATGGTACTTAAATGAGGTGAAATTTAAACACACTTGTAACAAATAAGGCAGAAAAGTATTTATCAAATATCTGCTAAGTAGTGAGATAGGTACCTGGAAAGTACTGATGGCTCCTGTTCTCAAAAAGTATACTAGTAAATTACTAGTCTTAAACCTAAAGCCTTAAAGGGCAGAAAACAGAGTGAGTTGTAAGATAGTAAAAAAAATAATCTGAAGTTTGACACACCTGAGATCAAGTCCCAATTCCTCGACTTTCCAGATGTAGTGGGTTTGAATGTTCTCCAAAAGATAAGTCCATGTCCTAACTCCCAGAACCTGTGAAAGTGACTTTATTTGAAAAAGGTGTCTTTGCAGATGTAATTAAGGACCTCCACGTGAGATGATTTTGGACTACCTCAGTGGGTCCTAAATCCAATATTAAGCATTCTTAAAACAGACAAAAGACACAGACACAGAAAAGGATGACATTAGAAAGCAGAGAGAGAGACTGGAGTCATGCAACCACAAGGCATAGTACGCCTGGAACCATCAGAAGCAGGAAGCAGCAAAGGAGTCTTCCCTAAGCCTTCAGAAGGTAGGCGATTCTACCAATACCTTGATTTTTGGTGTTCTCTCCTCCAGAACTGTTAGAGAATAAAAGTTCTGTTATTTGACAGGATCAAATCTGTGGTGTTTCTTCATCTGGGGATAATATCCTAACTACAGTTTTATTTTCTAAAGTGGGAAATGGGATACTTGCATTATCCAGGAACAGGCAGATATTAAAAATGACATTTATTGAGAGTTTTTCATGATCATTCACTGTGCTAAGCGCTTTACATGTATGACTTCACTGTTTCCATTTTATGGATCAGGAAACCGCAGCTCAGAGAAATTCAGTAATTTGCCCAGAGCCACACAGCTAGCAAGTAAAAAAACAGGATTACAACTGAAACTGGCTCCCAAGATATCCTTTTTATCCTTCATGTTAGCTTGCTCAGAAAGGATGCAAATTAGCACACTCTAAAACTTTAGGTATTTTAATTTTAGTTCAAGTTGCAGGATTAACCGCCTCTATTTAACTGCGTCAGCCAGGTTTCTCCTTAAGCAACTCATCAACCCTCGCGAGAAGCCTCAGTTGCTTCCTTGGCACGGAAACGACGGGGTTAATGACGTCATTTTCAGGAGCCGCTGACGTAGCCTCGGCCCGACGGATCCTTCTAAGGGCCAAAACTCGCGTGAGGCGCAGCCCTGGCGCCTCTAGAAGAAGCAAACAGCAGCGGACCAATAGAAATGCCGAACTTCCGTGTTTTCTGGTAAGCTCCACCCCTTGGCCCCAGCTCTGCTGCGGCAGATTGGAAAAAGCGGACTCGGGGGCGGAGCAAGGCGAGGAAGCGGAAGCGGCTGTCCAGGATCTGCTACTCGACCTGGCTTGGGCCCCACGTGTGCGGTGAGTGTGGCGGCTCGGCGACAGCTCCTGGGAGGGGTTCGCATTCTGCCGGGCGCTAGAGTAAAGGAGGGCCTCTCGGGGTCTTTGCCTACTGGCAGTCTTCTGGGGCATTTCCTAGCCTACGAATTTGGGGATTGACGGGAGCCCGGCGAGGAGGGCGGGTCTACAACTCCTCTTCCTACTGGGTTGCCTGCGTGCTGGGTTAGGCAGAACTAGCCTCGCTCTCAAGTCCTGGCCCGTGCTAGTTCTGATCAGCCTGTCTGTCCTCTTTTTGACAACCATTCACGCCACGTCTAGGTGCTGAGTTTCCAGCAGGTTATAAGCTCTAGAAAGGAAACGAACTGGGTGTTAAGATGGAAGATGGGAGGACTGAAGAAGTGATCAAATTTTATAGCAGATCTAAAGCACGTCGGGAGGCACTTCTGAGATCTGGAAGCCCCCAGACTACTTTAAGCAGAGGCAATAACGGGCTAAGTCCTGAGTTGGGAGCTAGGAGTACAGTGATGTAAGATAAAGTTAGAGGGATGGAGTGAGACAAGGTTCTTTAGGGCCTTGAACTCCATGGAGGAGAATTTTTTTTTTATTTCTATGCAATGGGAAAACATTACCATGCCTTCATAAACACTGAAGGCTTGTAAGTGAGGGAGAAACATGATAGGCCTTGATTCTCTTTAGAAAATGTATTTAATTTGGAAGTTTAGTAAGAAGACAATTGATGGTTTGCATTAGAATGGTGGTAGAGATAGAAGTTGGGTGGTTAGAGTATTAATAAAGGGAATTAAAGAAATTTAATGTCACAGACAAGAGAGATAAAAACGTCAAGTGTAATTCTTAGGTTTGTTGCCTAAGCAGTAGAGTATATGATGTGCCATTGGCTGAAATGGGAAACAGTAGGGCAGGGAAAAATAGATGGGATATTGTTTGGAGGTGGTTTGCAGTGGAAATATAGAGAATTAAATTTGGGGCATATTAAGTGTAAGGTGTCTGTTAGACGCATAATCAGAGATGTCAAGTAAACAGTTAGATACACAGGTCTGGAGCCCAAGGAGAAATTCATAATGGTAAAATAATTTGGGCATACTCAGCAGAGAAGAAAGCCAGGAGGTTGAATGACATCACCTAGGGAGAAGTGTGGAGAGAGAAGGAAAGTTCACTAGCACAAAGACTTGAGGAATGTCAACATTTAGAAATTGAGTATTGAATATTTACTGCTTTCATAGCACAATGCTAAGCTTGCTCAGGGAGGTAAGGAAGGATCAATCACATGTCCCTCTACCTCTGGGAAATCTTTGATATTTCCCTTCATAAGGCAGATTCAGCTCTCAGCTACTGGTTCCCTTAACATTTTGTATATACTTCTGTTCTAACACTTAATTACATTGTGCTTTAATTTTCTGCTTGCCCATTTCTATTAGAGCACACCTTGAATTTTTTTTTCATATTTTTCAACCCAGTAGCTTTCTAGCATGTAGTTTGTAGATATTAAATAAATTTCTGTAGGATAGAGGTGGAGCCATCATGAATAACTTTAATATGAATCCCAAAGTGTTATATTTTAAGAAGGATATAAAAACGTGTCACTGGAATAAAGAGAATCTTTTGGAAAAGAGCAGAAGACATAGGGGAGAAATTATAAGAAAATTTCACTTAAGCTGGAGTTGAAGGATGTGTAGGAATTATGTTGTTAGAATGGCTTTAAAGTTTGGAGCCTGAAAAAGAATTTTAGGGAAGTAAAATTGGCTTCTCTGTGGTGTGAGAGGGCTGATCACGACCAAAGTTTGAACAGCTGTGAATGCCAATCTGAGTTTGAACCTTTTCCTGTAAGCAGTGGGAAAGTTTTGAAACTACTGGAGCATGGAAATGCCATGAAATGGGCGTGATAGTGGAAGGTTAACCAGGCCACAGAGTGTGGATTGCAGCAGATTGGATCTAAAGGCAAAACAATCTGAGCAAGAGGTAACAAGAGCATGAATGAGATAATAGAGGGAAGGGGAAAAAAGGGGGAAAATTAATTCTGAAAGACACTTTGGAATGTAATGATTGGTTATGAAGGGACAGACACAGTCCCTAAGCAAAGTGCATTTTGCTTAGTGAAAAAGAAGCAAGACCCAAAAGGTGATATATCTTGTGATTCCATTTACGTGATGTTCTGGAAAAGGCAAAACCAGAATGAAAAACAGATCAGTGGCAGCCAGGGAATTGGGGAGGGGTTGATTACAAAGGGGTTGCAAAGAGGACATTTTAGAGTGATGGAACTTTTCTGTAAGATACTGTGGTAGCGGATACATGACTCTATCCATTTGTCAAAACTCATAGAATTGTACACCAAAAAGAGGGAATTTGACTATATGCAGATTTAATAAATCAACCAGCATTTCTGCAGATGGAATGCAGACTGACAAATGAATCAGACTGTACTATAAACATAGAACTCCACTGAAGTGGGTGGGGGGTGGGGAGAAAGGAGTTAACCTAAGTAACTTTGGAAAACAGTATTTTGAAAGGGTACTCTGAGGCTAAAAGAAAAGAACTGTGCATAAACACTGTACGGTAATTGGTAAATTTGTTTCTCATAGGGGTGCAGGCTAGCAATTCTGAGACTAGTTAACATGTATAGTAGAGTTGAATAAATATATAAATAAATTGTAGATAGTGGGAAGGAGTTTCTCATTGTCAGAGAAAAAAAGTTACAAATGAGCAAGAGGGGATGACTAGAACAAAACCTGTTGTGCTTGATTAGAGTTAGAGACATTAATATGAACTTAATGCTATTTTAATAGCTATAAGAGTAAATATAGGTGTATGTTTATGCATGGGTTAATATGCATATGTGTATTGCTTAGATCTGTCTGCTGAAAGGACCTAGAAGCAGTGACACCTCAGTGACAACAAGCACACCTAGCATTTAGATCTTGGTTTTTAAATACCATTCTCCATTAAAGGAATCCATGTTCCTTGGAGAAAATACAAGATGAACCGGGAGCAAGTGCCAGGAAATATAGATATGCTTTTAAAAAGGGGAGGGGAGAGGCCCTGTCAAGAGGACACAGAAGCAACCTGAAAAACTTCCTACTGGCCAAAGCTAGAACTATTTGAACAACAAAATAACGATGGTATTAGGTTATAACCCAAGGAGTAAAATAAATATCTGAGACCATACTGATGAAAATAAATAAATAGTTGGAAAAGATGGAGCAAATCTTCCCTACAGAAAAATTCAAAATAATAACAGTAAAAGTAATAAGGGAAATAGAAAATCACCAACCACCACAGTAATTGCTGCAAGCAAGATCCACTGAAGAATGGTAGAATTAGCTGGCTGAACTTTAAGAAGGCACAGGTTATTTGCATAGTCTCAAAATATCTTGTCTAAAATGTTTATTAATTGCTGTGATCTGAATGCCTTGGTACTACTCCTTCTGGGGATTAATTTTCCTCTTTTTGGGTTTGGGCTGGACTTAGTGACTTGCTTCTACTAGAATATGAAAAGTGAAAATGGTAACTTTGCAGCAGATAAACCTGGCAAACACTACTTTGACCAAGTGATCAAGGTAAACATCACCAGTAATAAATCATGTTGATATCATGTACATCCCGAAATCATTCTATGAGAAGAGTACTTCACCTCTGGTATTCTTCTAAAAAAACCTTATAATCCCAGTCTAATCATGAGAAAACATCAAGCAAACCCCAAATGATGCATATTTTACAAAATACAAAGGAGACATGATGGCTGAATTCAGTGTATCCTCGAATAGAAAGAGGACATTAGTGGAAAAACTGGTGAAATCCAAATAAACCCTGTAACTTAGTTAATAGTATTGTATTTTTTTTTTTTTTTTTTTTTTGAGACAGAGTCTCACTGTTGCCCGTGCTAGAGTGCTGTGGCATCAGCCTAGCTCACAGCAACCTCAAACACCTGGGCTCAAGTGATCCTTCCTCCTCAGCCTCCTAAGTAGCTGGGACTATAGGCATGTGCCACCATGCCTGGCTAATTTTTTCTATATATTTTTAGTTGGCCAATTAATTTCTTTCTGTTTTTAGTAGAGATGGGGTCTCATTCTTGCTCAGGCTGGTTTCGAACTCCTGACCTTGAGTGATCCTTCTGCCTTGGCCTCCCAGAGTGCTAGGATTTACAGGTGTGAGCCACTGAGCCTGGCCCCAATAGTATTGTATGTTAACATTTGGGGAAGCTGGGCAAAGGGTATATGGGAACTCACTGCAAATCTTTTCAACTCTTATGCAAAACTAAAATTATTTCAAAATAAAAATTAAAACAAATATATAGAGAAATGAATGGATTTTTAGAAAACTACATGTAATAGAAGAACTAAAGAGAAGTGATATGGTTATAGTGGCTATAAACAAGTGAAAAAGTGACCCTACAGTCAGTCCTGAATGCTCAGAGGAAGCTGAGTAATTCAGAACCCATTCATTTTTTCAGGATCATATTAGTAAAGTCTGCATTAGAACAGCATTTCCCAGAGTGTTTCTTGGAACTCTACCATTCCCTTGAAATGTTTCAGGAAAAAGTGGCTCAACAAAGGTTGAAAAATCCTGCATACTTTAACCTTTGCTTGGTAATTGATAGTTACATTAGCAAATTAAAGAATTTTAAAAAATCTTTCCTTATAGGCTGATTTTACTTACTGTTTTCCAAATACATTTTATCCCAGAACTCTTCTTTTATACTTATTAATATCTTGGTAAATTAGTTCTTGAATGGAAAATTCTAATCTAGAAATATCTGATAGTGTCTAGGAATTCTTAACATCTTTAAGGTGAACTTTAGAAATGAATTGAACGTACAACTTTGGAAAGTCGAAAAATGAGCCAAATGACTTTGCCCTTGATCCGCTTCTTTTAGGGACCTTGGGAAGGTGAGGGGTTATGTCTTGTTTGTCCTGTGCACCATGGGATCTCAATACCCAAAATTGACCTGTTGGGCAGATATTTTGAATTCCTTTTTTTAAACATTAAATATTTCAACATAATCTTATTTTGGCATTCACTGCAAGCTACTTGGCTGCCTCTAAAACAATCACAAGTTAAAATTTGGATAGTAATGTTTGTTTTAGCTTTATTGGGTTACATGGGGATTTTTCAGATAATCCTTTACTTTCTTTTATTAAATTCGAATATGTGATAAGTACAGCCTATTGTTTGTTCCTAGCTTTTAAGGACAGAGACCAAGAAATCAAATAGTAATATTGTCCGTTACCCATCACCAAGTCTTTCCACGTTACAAAATGGAAGCACTGATGCTTATATTTAATGTCGATAATGGTCTATTTTTAACTATTGCTGAAGTGTTGCCTCCAGAAATATTAGGGACTAGAGCCAGCATGAGTGCATGTTCTTAGGTTTTGTATTGATATCTTGTTCATTTTCAGTTTTAAAGTCTTAGAGATAGTGATTGTATAATTGCTGGACTTGTGTGGGTACTGTACCCAGGTAGTTTATGCTCCATCTGTCAACTCAAGGACTAAATGTGGCAATGACTACTTAATGACTGCTATTTGTTGAGCAATTCATTCATTCTTTTTGGTTTGGATTTTTGTTTTCCAGAGTTGCTGCAATGGAAGTCAAAGGGAAAAAAAAATTCACAGAAAAGAGTACAAAGCCATCACAAGAAAAAAACAGATTTCATAAAAACAGTGGTAAGACAGCCATGCCAAAACATGTTTCCCATGTGATTTGTTGGCCATTGTACGTGGGGGATAACAGGGTATATAGCATATTTTAATCTGTAGTTATGAGCTAAGATTAGGATTAAAATAGTAGGAAGAAATAGGTGTTATTGTGTACGACTTAGCATGGTCCTCATGACATTTAAGAAATTGCCAGAATAATTGAGGAATGCTTTTTACTCATGAAAGGCCCTTATTTCAGCCATCGATGCTGTTGCCGCACTTATTGACACTAATTCACCATACGTTTTATATCAATGCTTAATAAATTAGGGCTGGTTAATACATACTGCTGATAAACCAAATACTTTTAGCTTCAGCATTTATAATGGCGATGTCTTTATTATTCCATCAGGTGTCAGTATTGCAAAATAAAAAAGTCAGGTACTGTATAAGTAACTAAATGTTTTCTTAAGCAATCTTTTTTTGTTTGTTTGTTTCAGTAGTCTTAAGACATAGCTATTTCTATTTGCATCTCGTTAGTTTGCAAGCTTTGTTGACCAAAGAAGGTTTTCATCAAATAATTTTATCATAGGCTTTAAAAAATTTTTTCTCAAGACTAGAAATTTTGGATATAAACATTTTTAGTTTGTCTTTATGATATACTTTCTAAATTTTGAAGTGTTCAATTTATTCTTAGACTCCTATCAAAGAACCATTGAAAATCATGTATGAGGACTAATGATATGGAATTATTAAAGCAAAATAGAAAGGTATATAAGTAATATCTCATCTCAACTCTATGCTTACAACTAGTGAAATATACCAAACTGACCACAGTGGTTATCTCTAGGTGGCAGAATTGTAGAGAGATTTTATTACACATTTCTCTAGTTTCTAGGTTTTGTATCATGAACCTTTATTAATGTTTTATAATCAGGGAAAGAGTTTTTAAATTTTGTTTTGGTTGTTTAAATCCTACTCTATTCAAAACAATAAAGAATATATATTTGAGAACAAAACAAAGTATGTCTCACTAAAAGTGCCTAATTTTCTGTAGTGAATGTAATCCAGTGGATAAAAGAAATCTGGGTCCAAAATCATTAAAGCTGTAATTATTTATTTTTGTCACTAGCTTCTGGTTCTTCAAAGTCATTCCCAAGAAAAGTTGCTAAGGAAGGTGGATCTAAAATTACATCTAAGAACTTTGAGAAAAGTACCACAAAACCTGGGAAAAAGGGTGTGAAGCAGTTCAAGAATAAGCAACAGGGAGACAAAGCACCGAAGAACAAATTCCAGCAGGCAAATAAGTTCAACAAGAAGAGAAAATTCCAGCCAGATGGTAAAAGTGACGGTAAGTTCTAATTTCTTGAGCATAGTCTCTGCAGAGGCCTTGCCCTGCCTGAGCTAGTGCCTGAACCATTGTGCACAGGGACTCTGGAAATGAATTAGAGACTTCCCATTCTTGTTCTTTGACCGGGAACATTTTGGGGCGAGAGGAGGGAAAGGTATATTATTAATAGATAGGCTTAAATGAACAACATAGTATCTTTCCTGGTCAAAATTTCCCTCTAGTGTTTATAGTTCCTTATTTCTTAGACCGTTTCTGAATTACTGTAGCCATGGAGTTAAGCTAAATTGTAATGGTTTCATACAGTAGAGCATCAATAAAACATTTTATGTGGGCTGAAATTAATTTATTAATTCATTTTTCAACAAAGATTTGAGTTTTCTATGCATTGTCCTCAAGATCGGGCCAAAAAAAAAAGCAATTGGTAAGGATATAGGCCCCAATTAATTATCACAGAAGCCAGCCTTAAAGAACCATTGTGTCCCAGGTAAGTGTCAACCTTGGCTAAGGATATCTTAATAAACAAGAGACATATATAGACCCTGCCCTCACAGAGCTCAGGCCAGTCTAATATAGTCAACCCACAGATGGCTCAGAGCCAGTTGCAGTTCCAAAGAAGGTATAGTGCACACACAGTGGATTTGATTTTAATTGGTTCAGGACAAGTTGCTCCCTGATTGGGAGTGTTGTCAGGGGTCCTATTTGTCTATTGAAACAAACTGCTACTCTCTTCATCAGGATGGATCATTTCTCACCCATAGCTTTGCTTTCTGTTGTGCAGCATACCCCTGTTACTCATTGTTCCACACTGGTCTCAACCAGTCTGTTTCTAGGTTGCATGTACTTACATACATTTACCTTCTCTGCAACATCCTTAGAATTTCTCTGGTTCTTTCATTCTCTTTTTGTCCAACACAGAATGTCCTAATGCTGTTCCTTGCTGCCAGCTGAGACCACTGCCTGGGGGCTTCTCAGTCCAGCTCTCTAGTCCTGGTTCTTGCTCCTCACTCTGCCTGAAGGCTTACTAGAGGGGCAGCAACCTTAGGACAGGAAGGTGGGGAGAGAGGAAGGAAGGGGAAATGTCATTCTTTCTCATTAGGCCTGTAGGATCCTTTCATGGTCCAGTCTGCATCTTTTCTCTTAATTTTCTGTTCTTCCCTCATCACCCTACCCCATAGTTTCTCTTCCAGCTTCTGTTTCCTACTCTCTCTAATGGATACCAAATCTTGCTTTCCCTACTGGAGTTCTTGACAACTTCCTTTTAAACACATATACATTCATTCTGACATTAAGATCCTGTCATGCAATAGCCCTGATTTTTTTTTTTTTTTTTTTTTTGCTATAGAAGATGTGTTCCTGACATCTTGCTATGGGAGATAAGTTCCTAACATTTCAAAATGGAACTCTTGATTTTATTCTCTCTCTCTCTCTCTCTCTTTTTTAAGCAGTAACTGAGAGAAATTAGATACTGGACAACCCCAAAACTGATACATTATATCTATTGCAACCCAGCATGACATATTCAAGATGCCCAAATATTTGTGAAATTAAATTAGCTCTGAATTAGTTATTATCCTCTTCTGTATAGTAGAGGTTGCCCTAATATTAATGGTAAATATGTCCTCCATTGCCTATGATTCTCTGTATTAGCAGGCAGGGAATAAACAAGGAAAAATAAGGAGAGTGAGTAAATGCATTGTAGTAGTATAGTATACATTGTATATTTTATAGCCATTAAAAATTATGTTGTTAGAGAACATTTAGTTTCGTGAGCAAACAAAATACAACGTTAAGATACAGATTCTGCATTTTTAAAGATGCCTGGGGAAAGGACAAGAAAGAAATAATCAGTGGTTATGGCTAGGTTTTATTTTATAGGGGAAATATATATATATATTTTTTGCATTTTTCCAAGTGATCAGAGAAAGGGAGATATTTAGAAATAACTAATTTGCCAAAATGTTTCCTGCAGGATACTCATGTAAATAAAACCCATTTTATTAAGTTGTTCTTTGGCTTCATTGGCTCAATAGGAAGTTACTTGGATTTTGAGGACAAAATAATAATAATAGAAAGATACTTGACTTTTATAGCTTCACTCTGCAGAGAACTTGGAAATTTTGGTTATGCATTGTCATGAGAAAGAGACAGCAAAGGGTCATTTCTGGATTTGCATCTTAATCCTGGCTCTACCACTCCTGGTTATGTGGACTCAGACAAAAACTTAACTGCTTGGTGTGGTACCTTTGTTTCCCCAGTGTGAAGGGGGAGGTAATAATAGTACCCACCTCATAGGGTTGTTTTAAGAATTAAATGACTTAATACATAGCAGCTCTCAGAACAGAGAACTTTTGAAATTATTTTTCCTGTTGTAACTTGGACTAATTTTTTTTCATTGAAAACTAATTACACCTAAACTCCAATAATCTTAATGATCTAAAGTAGAATTTTATTTTACAATTGAAAAAAATACAATGTTTCAGTAGCTTTTATAATCCTTTTAATGTCCTTAATTTCTTGATAGGTATTCCGCTAAGAATTAATAACAAGCAGTTAAATGAATGATTGGCTTTAACCAAATTTGAAATGTACAAACTCCTCAAAAAAATGAAGTAAAATGAAAGCCTATAGGGAATGATATTTTCTCCCTTCTAGCTTCCACAATGAGTATTGATGCTGGTTAGTGATTGCCCTTTGTACCTAATTTGTATTTGTTTATGGCACTCAGAATGTTAAGTGTAATTGAAAATAATTTCTGTGATAACTAGAATCAGCAGCCAAGAAACCCAAGTGGGATGACTTCAAAAAGAAGAAGAAGGAACTGAAGCAGAGCAGGCAACTCAGTGATAAAACCAACTATGACGTTGTTGTTCGAGCAAAACAGATTTGGGAGATTTTAAGAAGGTAATACTACCTAATGGTGTCTTTATTAGTCCCTTTGAGACAATGGAAAAGTAACAGTGTACCTTGTAAATAGTGAAATGTCCTAAAATAAATGACACAGCACTTGGGTTATGTAGGCAGTACTCATGACACACTGGTATGGGCATCAGTACTTGGATATCTGCCCATTGCAGAAATGTGTGGAATCATTAGGATGCCGTCAGATGTGCTTATGAAAATGTATGAGGTTAAAATACATTTGACATTCTTCCTGAGAGATTTCTGAGAAAATGAAGGGCAATTTCTTATCTGCTAGGTTTTGAGATACTTAAGTATTTGGTATCTTAGACTTGTTTTATTATTTTCTTTACTTCTGAAGTTTCTGGCTGTTAAGATTTGGATTGATGCATAAAATTATACCTTGTGAGATGAGTTTCTGCCTTTGAGAAAATTACTTTTGTCTGGCTGCTCTGGAATAGTAATTTTAATGGCAGGGGTTTGCTGCCTTCGAAAAGAAAATCATGCCGAACCAGGTGAACGTATACTGGTAGGGTTTTTAGTTCTGTGTTTTTAAAATAACTTCCTCAACTGTGTTGTTGTTGCCTCCCTCTTTTCTCATTTGTAGAAAAGACTGTGACAAAGAGAAAAGAATAAAGTTAATGAGTGACTTGCAGAAGTTGATTCAAGGGAAAATTAAAACCGTAAGTAGGGCATACTCATTGTTGCAATTTTAAACAATTTGAAATTGCCTCGCTCTCAGGGAAGGGTAGTTGACCATTCATGACAGGTGAACTTGTTATTGCTTCCAGTATACTTGGCCAAGAACTTTAAAAATCTTTCATAACACTGACTAAATAGACATTTAATAGTGAGTGGCCTTATTGCTATGCAAAACTATCAGTTAGCTGTGTCATGTTTTAAAAATTTAGTTCAAATAAGTCAGTGTTCTCTTAACGTTACCTTGGGGAATTTATCAGTTCAGTAGTATTTGTTTAATGTCTTGCTCTGAACTCCACATGATTTAGTATGTTCTAAATTGCCAACAACAGAGTCTAGTTTCAGGACCCCTGCAGGGGTGGCCTTTGCCAAACCATATGCATAGGATGAACCAGATGCTATATTACAGTTTGAGGGTATGTCTTGAAATAGCAAGTCCTCAGCTGTTTCTTTCTTATAAATTCAGTAAGATCCTTTTGGGCTAGAATTGCCCTTTTGGGCTAGAATTGCTATCAGCTCTAGCAATAGTCTATTCTCAATTTGTAAATGTTTCGCTCTCAAGGTTCTTTCCTGACTAGCCTTAGGTCACTGCTGCATAACCATGGACTTGAGAATTAGTTTGATTTTCACATTCTGACTCTGCAGCTTAAAATATTTGTGCTTTTTGACAATAAGAATAACCTATTTGTTGATTATTTACTGGGTGTTTGGAATTGTGCTAACCGGTACATGTGTTGTTTCATTTAACTGATGTCATCATCCTGTTGTATATTTGATGTATCTGGGGCTTAGAGAAGTTAAGTTTTTCCTCAGTGTCTCAGGGGTAGCTAGTTGCTTCTTATAACCTTACTTTTCTCATCCGGAAGTGGGAATAATAACAGCTCATTCTTATGGTTGCTTTGAGTTCCAAAAAAGAAAAATATATTTAAAGCACATATATTGGTTATATAGTAGGTACTCAGTATATGCACAAAAACAGCCTTATTTTTTTAAAAAGGTTTATCAAATATATCTTACAAGTCTCCCTTAAATTCTTCTGAAATCTATGACTATGATGGAGGTGTACTGTCACCTTCTGATTTGTTGGAATTAAACAATTTTAAAGACAGTGAGCAATGAATAATCACTCTCGAAGTAGACTGGTACTGTAGCATAGTAAAAATAATTTTGCATGGCATGATTTGTGGGTGTTGCTCTAGAATATTGATCAGTGGGCCCTTCCCGTAGTGAGGGAGATGGGTTGGAAGATCAGATTTGAAATGTAACAACTCTTCCAGAAATATAACCGGATATTATGCACAGGAGTTATAATGAAAATATTAGAAATGGATGATTGCCAATGTGTATATATATATAGTTATATTTGTGTGGCAAGACTTTTAGATCTCATATCTATATACCTATGGTTACCAAAGCCAAATATTCTTAGATCACTTATATAAAAATCATAGAGTAATAGACTTTTTAAACTAGAATACTTCTCTTTTAGGAAAGGTAACTTCCAGAGAAATAAATATGGTCCATGTGTTCATTAGATGGTTTTGGTTTGGTTTGGCTTTAATTACAAAGAGGAATCTTGCAAAATAGTTAAATCTGTCCCTGCCTCAATGTCATTATTAATTGTACCTATCAAATATGGTAGGCAGTAAAACCAAAGAGTGATGCTCCATACAATTAAAACAAGTATTTCTACTCCCAAGTAGTCTAGGTTTGATTTTATTCATGAAGAGTCTACCATTTTTCTCACAAGGAATTCTAAAAGAGGTTGCAATGAAACATAAATTATAAGAAGCATGACTCCTCAGAAGAGAATTAGTCTCACGGCTCACACTTTTTCCTTCAGATTGCGTTTGCACATGATTCAACTCGTGTGATCCAGTGTTACATTCAGTATGGTAACGAAGAACAGAAAAAACAGGCTTTTGAAGAATTGCGAGGTATCTGTTATATGTCGAAGATTAATTATTTGTAGTAAACCACTTGTTTTCTCTTGACCCAAGACTGTCCTAGAAAATTTAGTCGAGATGTGTCTTCGGCAGGATGTTTCTTGTTTTTATTTGTTCTTTGCCTGCAACAAATAGAGAGTTAATTTGTGTTTCTAGAATCGTGCCTTTATTTAATTCTTTCTTCCTTTTGTTTCCAGAGAACTGACATAAGGATATCAAATCATTATACTGTGTTTTTATTTTTCAGATGATTTGGTTGAATTAAGTAAAGCCAAATATTCCAGAAATATTGTTAAGAAATTTCTCATGTATGGGTAAGTTGTTTTATTTATATTATGAAATACATTTTTTTTTTCCTGTTTTGAAGGCATAGATTCTGACTGTGACAAAAATCTGTGGTCCTAGTAATAGCCTCAGCAGATGTTTGTGATGTTTCTGGGGGAGTAGCACCTTAAAAACAATTTATTGAAATTAGTGTAAAATTATGGTACTGCCTTCACCATTCTTATGGGCGTATTTTTATATCTTGAAGCTCTGGTAGAAGAAAAAGGGAATAATTAATGTGTAATTAGTTACCACTATTTAGAGGGTAGGGGGTTAGGAGGGGCAAGTGAGTAGTCAGTGAGTTAGAAAATGTCAACATGGAAGGATTTCCTAAATGAGGTATAGTTACTTGACCAATCTTTTAGAGTGTAATAATGTGCCTGAATATGATAACCAACAACAAAAAAGAATAACATGCAGTCGGTAAATTTTTTTCTTAAATGTATTCCTGGCTATAATTATCAGCTGCTCAATTGTTTTAGAGTATAGTATAAATACTTTTGATTAAATCCTGTTTTCAAAGAGAATCATAGAATATAATTTCTTATTTCCCTGCATCTTTTCCTTTCCTTTCTCTTTCTCCTACCCTATATTTTTTTTTTCAAGCTGAACAGTTTAATAGCACTGACATTTTTGGAGCACTTACTATGTGCTGGTCACAGTTCTTGGTGCATCTTAGCTCATTTAGTCCTCACAGCAACCTTGTTTTTATTTTATAAATGAAGAAGCTGAGGCACAGAGATTAAATAAATTGCTCATGGTCTTTTTCAGCTGGTAAGCAGAGCAAGTTTCAAACCTAGGCAGGCTGGCTTCTGAGTCATGTAAAGCTTGAGGTAGAAATACAGGGCAATTCAATTTTCCTACTCATAAGCATTTCTCTGTGAGAGACCCCCCATACACATATTGATGAGTTGGTCTCAGGAGAAGTAAGTTATCTTTTATTGTCACCCAGCTTTCTCCCTCCATCATTTATTTTTTTCCATGATCTTGTTGGGTTTAGGAGTAAACCACAGATTGCGGAGATAATCAGAAGTTTTAAAGGCCACGTGAGGAAGTTGCTGCGGCATGCAGAAGCATCGGCCATCGTGGAGTACGCGTACAATGACAAAGCCATTTTAGAGCAGAGGAACATGCTGACAGAGGAGCTCTACGGGAACACATTTCAGCTGTACAAGGTGACACTTCCAGAAGTTTCTTTCTGTATGCTTTTCCTTAATTTCCAGCATCCTGTTTTTAGAATGTTTACTTTGCCTTTTAGAGACTCTCTTACACCTTTAGATACATTGGTAAATGTATAGGCTGAGAATCAGATAATCAGGAATTATTTCATGAGTACATATACAATGGGGCTTTGTTATATAAATATGGGAAATCTTAAATTTGTTGAAGCTTATTTTAAATGGCTATGATCGCTTTTCTTCTGACGTGAAGAGATTGATTAAATTTAGAGGGGTTTGATTTCTCTTTTGCAGACAGCAGACCACCCAACTCTGGACAAAGTGTTAGAGGTACAACCAGAAAAATTAGAGCTTATTATGGATGAAATGAAACAGATTCTAACTCCAATGGCCCAAAAGTAAGAAAGATGTTTTTGTTTTTACTTAAAAAGTGGCATTTGAAGGAGAAAAGTTTTACATAACCCTTGCCCAGAAAAGATGGTTATTTTCTCCTTACTGTTATTAATCTGTCCTAACTAAGAGTGTAAAGTTTTTTACTTGAAACCATTCTTGGTGCAAAAGAAGATCTCTTATTTCTAATGTTGTATACCGTAAAATGATAGCATACAATAGTGGTTTATAAACTTTATAAGCAATGAAACTTTCTTTCCCTAAATAAAATGCTATGTTGAATCCATGTATATGAAATGGTTTCACAAATATAATCTGTTATTTAAATTGGAGTGTAAGACTTAGGATTCTGTACATGTGGCCTTCTTGGCATTTGTACCATAGTGGAATGGTTGGGACCAGACTGGCTGGGTGTGACTCCTCATGCCTCCTTCCCAGTTACTTATGGTGTAGTCTTTGATAACTTAACCTCTCTGTGCCTCAGTTTCCATATTTATAAAATTGGATTAATAATGGTACAGACTTTATAAGGTTTTATGAAGATTAAATGGGTTACTAGTTCCAAAACACTAAGAACAGTGCTTTGGCCATAAAGTTTGCCTATTAGTTTTGACTGTCTACTTGGATACTCTTCGTGAACTTCAGTTATTTGATGCCTGATCATCAGCCTGCACTGTACACCTGGGTTCACCAGGTTCACTCTAGGCACTAGAGGGCTTGGATTAAGTAGGTGTCATTGCAATTGCTGACACTGATTTGGTCCATTCAGATTTTAATTCTGCTAAAATTATTCTATGAATATGATGCATTGTGAAGGGTGCTTGGCAAAAAGAAAACAGCTGTACAAAGAAGAGATCCACGTGTGGATTTCTAATCATGTGTCCAGTGCTGGAGAAAAAGAAATATAGATGTCATTATTTAAGAGAGAGGAGCATATTGTGAATGATAACTTCATCTTTGCTGGTTAGATACTAGAAATTAGTATTCTGGTCTTCGTTGTAGATGGCACTAAATCACTTTTACAGTCTAATTTTTTTTTTAAATCTTAGTATTGCTGAAAGATACAATCTATCTTATGACAAATTATATTTGGTAGAACTATTTCACTTGTTTAGACTATTTTAGAACCTCTGAGATTACCTGTCTCTGCATGACAGTAGTGCCGGATCTGATGTGGGTTTTGTTTGTTCATTTTCTCTTTTCAGGGAAGCTGTGATTAAGCACTCATTGGTACATAAAGTATTCCTGGACTTTTTTACCTATGCACCCCCCAAACTCAGATCAGTAAGTTCTTGGTTTTTGTTTTTAAACCAAAACATGGAGGAAGAGCAGTGTAGAAATTTAAAACACTGCTTTGAAGTACATTGTCTTTTGGAAATTTTAAGGAGTTGCTTTCTTATTTAGAAAAGATAATTCACTGAACTTCCTTTGAACTAGTCTGCTAATCTCAGGTTTTTTTCCAGAAAAATAATAGAATTAACCCTAGTTTTACTGATTACATTTTTAAATATATTTTAATTATAATCCAGAGAGTATCCTCTAGCTAACCTAATCTGAAAATTAACTTTATGCATATGGCTTTAAATTTAACCATGCCAATACAAAAAAGGAAAAAAAAAACTTGTTGGCATTAAAGGATTAGGAGAGGATACTTACGTAAAACCAAATGGACCATGAAAACCTGGGCTTTATGTGATAGAAGGAGAAGGAATAGGGAATGAAGGTAAATTGGACTGCCCTTCAAGTCAATGATAGGAATACAAATGAGAATTCATCGTTTAGTTCCCTGAACTTTGCTTGTCTCGTGATACAATGAGCTCATTGGCATTTGTTCTCATTTTCTAATCGCAAGGGATAACTGAAGTAGTAATGAGACTACCTTCTTTTAATAAATATGCCAGATTATACATTCGTTGGAATTTTGACTTCTTAAAATTGGCATACAATATAATAATATCCCGAGAGTAGCCACCCACTTAAACTTATGGTTCAGTGACCATAACAGTATCTTCTCTTTTGGGTATTTCTCTCTATTTCCTGCAGAACACAGTAACCCACAGTTCTGGATTTACTGAGGCAGGACTATATGTTCAGAAGTGATAAAATGATCATTTGAATATATTCAGTGGTAGAAAGTATCTTTTTAGTGTTGAATGTTTTAGTAACAGCGTAAAATCATTTGGAACTTAGTGTGAATGTAAAGTAATGAGACACATTATCTATTTTGGCACCAGGGGCGTTTTCAAAAGAGAGACTTAAGAAGAAAAACCTTTGGGGATAATGAAAGCATAATTGGAATATCTGCATAACACTCCAACTGGCTAGCTTTGAAGAGATTCATAAGTTTAGGGATGTTGGTTGCAAGCTGTGTCCTTCAGCTTGGGAAAGGATTGTCCAATACTTGAGGGTGACATTGCTTATGCCTTATTGATGCAATTGGCACCTAAGTAGCACCTGCCCTTTTTCCTGGTATGGGGCTTTGCATTTATTTATTTAATATAACTTTTTAAGTTGGGAATAGACTAAAATGGGGTCTTGCAGCTGTTAGCTGCCAAACTCATTTATATCCTATGTACATAGACCTTGAAAATGTAAATAAGAAATTACATACTTTGAAAATGAAGACTAAAGGTTAAATTAATCTAAACTACCTTGTAATAAATTAAGTGATTTTTTTTCTTTTTTTACTAAAAGTCAGAAACTATGTTTAATAGAAATTGCCTGCCAGCAATATTTATTGCTCTTGATGGAAAAGACTGTTTCTAGAAAGAGGTTGTGTTTCTGTTTAATTGTCTACAAAATTAAAAATTGTTTGCTACCTGCCCTCTCTTCCTTTCATTCTCTGTGTGTAACTTCCTGCCTATAGGCAGACAGATGTAACAGCAGCAGAAGAAAATAAAGCAAAACCCTGACAGCATTTGTTCCCTAGGAAATGATTGAAGCCATCCGGGAAGCGGTGGTGTACCTGGCACACACACACGATGGCGCCAGAGTGGCCATGCACTGCCTGTGGCATGGCACACCCAAGGTGAGTGTGGTGGCATTTGCCTGTAAGCACTGCCATTCCGGGCTGCGCCTTATCTGCAGGCTTGACTGCCTGTTCTTAGACCTTTAGTCTTCTTTGGTCTTTGCCCTATTGTGCATAAACAACATTATCTTCTCAAAGTTGTACCTCGGAGCCTCACAGGAATTAGCCATTTTCTAAAGGCCTAGTGTTTCTTCTCTGCTTTAGTAGAAACCTTGAAGTTTCATTAAAGCATGAGAAGAGATCTGTCAAGCAAGTAAGCATAATATGTATGTTAAGCTTTAGGGTACAGAGGTTTTGGTACCTGTCGGGCTCTGTCATTTCTCATTTAATGATCATATTGAGGGAGGAGGAGGAGGGAAGAGATCACAAATAGCTAGTCACACATTTGCTTCTGTGGGTGTTAAGTACTTTGAAGAAAAGGGTAAAGAACCTTATTAATCAGAGGTTAGCAGAAATGATCATTCTCTTGATCAGCATAATTCTGCCTTTAAAAGGTGGTTGTATTATATCTACTTTTTGCTGAATGCAAATTGTATTTAACAAATACATATGAATATTAACCATATAGTTGACTCTCTGCATTTGATGACAATTCAGACCTTGGAAGAAGGATCCCTCAGATCTCATTGTATAAGGTGGTTTCTCTGGGTTTGCCTTCTGACTTACGGAGCCTTTTATGACTCATGGAGCCTTTTATGGCTCCATGTTTATGTTCGAGTGGCTTGTCACATAGAAGTCTAAGATTATACCGTGTTTCCCCCAAAATAAGACAGGGTCTTATATTTATTTTTCCTCAAGAAGACACCCTAGGGCTTATTTTCAGATGATGTAATAGTTTCCCCTCAAAGCCTCAGCTTGCAGCATGCACAGAATGGCCTGGAACTGACAGGGGGAGCCGACCTTGTTGGTGGGGCTGCCCCACCTTTCCAGTCACCTCTGTGATAATAGCTGTCACGATGGGGCAGATGAGAAGGGCTGCTCGTCATGGGTTGTGCAAATACGCTGTGTAGCCAGACCCATCACTAGGTCTTATTTTCGGGATAGGGCTTATATTATGCAAATGATTAGAAATCCTGCTAGGGCTTATTTTATGGGTAGGTCTTATTTTCAGGGAAACACGGTAATATCTCTGAGAGGACTTCTCATAGTATATTGCAGTTTTTTGTTTTTTGGTTTTTTTTTTTATAAATTTCACAGGAACCAGAATTTACAAAGCATATATAATTTTCTTTTCTAGGACAGGAAAGTGATTGTGAAAACAATGAAGTCTTATGTTGAAAAAATAGCTAATGTAAGTATAATAAAACTACATTATTTCTTTTAATTATTTTTAATATTAAAATGAATTCATGTCCATAATAGAAATTTTGAAAAATTCAGACAGTTGCCAAGAAGAAAATTTGTTTTATTATAATCTTTTTCTATCCACATGCTCTCCATTTTGTTTTTCACTTAATGCATCTCATGGGTCATTTTATTTCAATATATATACATTGTCTACCTCACTTTCCTTAAAGACTTCATAATATTTCATTGTATGACTATTCCAAAATTCATTTAACCAGTCCTTACTGTTGGACACTTGGGTAGTTTCTAGATTTTTTTTTATTACAATTAGTACTCCAGTGAATATCCTTATGTGTAAGTCTTTGTACTTACTTGAAAGCATGACTGTAGGATAAATCTCTAGAACTAGAGTTGCTGGATCAGATCATTCATGCATTTTAAATTTTTACAGATGTCAGTTGCTCTTCAAAGAAGCCAATGACTTTACATTCTCTCCTACATAAAAGTGTGCCTGCTTTTCCCCAAACCTTTGATAAATTAGTCTATTGTCAAAGGTTTTCACCATTGCCTATAGGATAGGTGAAAAATGGTATTTTTTGTTTTATTGTCCCTAATTATTTCATACATTTAAAACCATTTATATTCTCTTTTTTGTGAACTGACTTTTCATGTTCTTTGCCTACTTTGATTTTTCTTCTTTATATATATAAATAGGGATGTCAGACCTTTGTTGTTTTTCTTCAGTTTATCTTTTTTACCTTAAATTAACAATAATTACCTGTTGTGTTTATCAGACCTGGCTCTGAATGAGTGTGGGCTATTATCAAATATCAAACTCCCTTCAAAACTTAAAAACAAGCATTTATATCATCATCAGGGTACTAAAAAAATGCCACAAACTCTGAAAACAGGTTTTTGTTTTTAATATAAAGTAGAGGTTCTTTTAATGTTTATAACAGTGTCAGCATCATGGGAATAATTTTATTATTTCAAGGGGTGACTGTTGTGAACACCACATTGTATATTTGTAAGATCTTGTGCTGCCATGCTCTTTTAAAATAATGGTGCTTATCTTATTCTTGTATTCGGTTTACAGTTATACTCTTCTAGTTTATTTTTTTGGTATTTGTGTTCTAATTATATAGGATCATCTTAAAGAAATTGAACAATTACAAAAGAAAATGAAAAATCATTTGTAATCCTTTAACCCAGAAATGACTATTACAGTTTTTTGTCTTCCAGGATTTTCTGTATATATGTATTTTACATATATATATATATATATATATATATATATATATATACACACACATACACATACTATATATATAGTATTGTGAGTGTATAAAATTGTGTCTAAGTTTATATATTTTCTTTTTCATGATTGGAATATTTTATTTATGAATATATATAAAAAATAGAGAGGTTTTTTCCATTTAATCTTATCACTTGAACTTTCTTGCTATTCATTAACAGGATATCTGTTTAAACAGGTATTACATCCTGGTTAGTCTTGGGCTATTTGGTAGTAAAGAATGTGCTTTTCTGTTTCTTCCTTTTTTTTTTTTAATCAACCTTACCACTAGAATATAATTAACTAGGTCCTGATAAGAGAGGAAGTTCATTTAGACAGCTTTCATTCATCTTGTTTATATTATGTCGGACAAGTTGTCAGTGTTGGTAACTTCTGTAAAGGGACAGCATGAGTAAAATAAGAGTGAAAGTCTATGCATTTTTTTTAACCTTTACTGGCTTCCAATTCTTGCAGGGCCAATACTCCCACTTGGTTTTACTGGCGGCATTTGATTGTATTGATGATACTAAACTTGTGAAGCAGATAATCATATCAGTAAGTAATTCTGAAGGTCTTGAATTTAAGTTACATTTATAGACCAATTGTGGGTGTGTAAGTTTGTTTTCACACATGCATGTGTAAAGACTTTCATCTGTGCTTTCTACCAGTATTTTCTGTTATTTTTTAGTTATCAGTTAAGTGTTATTTTGGAGGTTTACTTAATTCCTATATAAATCACAACCTTGTAACTTGATACTAATGCTGTTTTACTTATTTAGAAAACTGGTTAAATTAAGACAACATTTTCAGGGTAATGTGGCCGTTTAGACCATGTATGATTCTAAAATACAAAATATTGGCAAAGTAATATTTAGTTATGATCAGAAATTAGTTTACACAGTAAATCCTCAGTTATTCCAGAACTCGTGTATAGGCAGAGGGTATCCGTGACATTTTTAACCCTCTTTCTCCATACGGAAAAACTACCTCTGCACAATTACCCAGTTTATCAGTATATCTGTGCTGAGTGAGCTGATGGAGAAGAAAAACTCATAAAACTGACTGAATTATGATACTTCTTAGAGCTTTTGTACAGTCAGATTAAAAGTTACTATAATATTAAAATTAGAATACTAGTTTCCTTTTTATGTTTCAGGCTACAATTCCTCTAGCTCAGTGTAATGAACATAAAGTGGTAATATTTGAGTAGTCTACTTATTCCCAAACTTGCCTTCAGAAAAACTGAATTGTTCTCTTAGAGAAACTACTCTGCTGTAAAAATTTTATTATAAACTATTTTTCCTTCATCTTGCAATGACAGCCTCTTCTTTTGATTCTGTGATCCTTTTCTCTTCCCTTTCTTTATTTTTAGTGTGCAGGTGGTAGAGGTGATAGCAGTGGGGATAAGAAAATGCAACATTGGTAGCAGTGACCATACTTGGAAATATTTTAAAAACCACATAATCTGATAGACATAAGTTATTCATCTGAAAATTACACAGACCTTTCTGTTTGATACACATGAGGCCCTTAGAGAAATCTTGGTGACAAATGGTACTTTCATACCACTGGCAGGGAGGAAGGAAATGGATGATTCAGAAAGTAATTTACCTGTTGTCAGGTGGTGGTGCTGTAGCCTCTCTGCACCAGTAGAGCTGGGTGTTAATGGAAATAGTGTGTCAGCTCATGGAGGGGAAGATTTGTTTTCTTAGATGCCAGCTGTAGGTCCCACTGTGTGTGAATTTTCTCATGCCCTTGCTGTCATTTTCCAACTTTACCCTTGACTATTTTAAGATTGTGATGACTTTCTTTGGGATAGGATTGTGGGAAGAAAGAAGTTGGCAAGACTTTCATGTCACAGACTGTGTATTTTGACATGTTCCTTGTGACTTTATTACCCTTTTGACTCCAATCAATAATGATTGTTTTTCATTCCTGTGACAGAGATGTGAGGCCATAGAATTGGCTAATGAATAAAATTGTTTGACTAAAATGGAAACAGGCTGGGATATTGAAAGTTTGCTTTTGTTTAATATTTTCATGACAACTAACATTTGCATAACTGTTCCAAATAGATTTCAAGAGAAACCGAACTTCTTCAGGATTTGCCAGAATTGCCTATTAGATTACATTTTTTCCAAAAATTTATCCCATTTAATGTTGCTGTTGAAACAGTTTTAATTCCTTGTACTTATCAGCTTGATTCCCACAACTATTTAACCCACATTCCTAATGACTTTCTTGTACTCAGGGCAGCTTTCTCTGAAAGGCCTGATTTGCTGATCTCTTGCCTCTGACAAATGCTCAACAGGTTCTGTGTGTCATTAAACTATGTGTTAATCGCTAGTGATAAAATTCTGGAATGCTAATTGCTCTTGTGTTTTTCCCACCCATCCACCACAAAACCTGTTGCAATATGCATGTTTTTTAAAAATAACCAAGAAAGCTTAGTGTTGTTAAGTATCCTGTTCAGGGCACTCAGACTTCCCGAAATGTCAGGTTGAAATCACAGTCTGGTCAGCTGAGCCCTTCACCTTTCGAAATGGATATAAACTCTCTCACCTACTTTACTTTCCAAAATAGTCATCGGTATGATGCAGCTGGTTTGACAGCAGTGTTCATGGGAAAAGAACTAAGTACACTAGCTAGTTGCTGTTTGAAGGTGATAGATATTGATGCATATTTTTAAATGTATTATCTTTAAAATATATAGAAAAGCATAAATAATACAGTGAACACTCAGCCTCCCACCATCTAACAAAAAGGTTTAAAACTTGACCAGTGCAGTTCAAGTTTAAGCCCTTTGTGTATTCATCCCTGCCATCGACCTACTATGATGATTTTGCTATTACTCATATGTATTTCCTTATCCTTTCATTCTGTGTAGTTGTATATCACTTTATTTTACATTTATAAATTCTACATATTCAGTGTCTTATGTGTATTCTTTTGCCACTTGCTGTTTTTTTTTGGTCATTGTGTCCATGGGGGTCAGCAAGCCTTTTTTGTAAGGGACCAGAAAGTAATTACTCAGCCTTTGAAGGCTATCTGTGTTCTCTGCCACATATTCTTGTTTGTTTTGTTTTTGTTTTTAACAACCTTTTGAGATGTAAAAGCCATTCACAGCTTGTAGGATGTATACAGCCTGTATACAGGCTGGATTTGATGCATGAGCCATAGTTTGCACACCCTGTTCTTCTGAATCATTTATTTCTCAATGCCAAATAGCATTCTACTACATGTGAATATACTGCAATTTATTTTTCTATATTCCTGGTGATAGATATTGAGGTTCATAATTTTAAAAACTTTTTTATCTTATTAATTTTTGCTATTTCACATAATTCATGAACATTCTTGTATATGTCTCTTTGGACACACATTAAGTTTCTCTGATGTAGCAGAATTTAGTTTCAATTACATAATAAAGTTGCTGGGTTGTCAAATATGCTACACATATGTTTATATAAAGTCCGTATTTCCCACCCAGCCACTACAAAACCTATTGCATTATACAGTGCTTTAAAAAATAGCCAAGAAAGCTTAGTGTTGCTAAGCATTCTGTTCAGAGTAACAGGATTTCCTGAAACGTCAAGTTGAAATCATAGCCTGATAATCACTCCTCTTGCTTTTAATCATCAGATAGTTTTCTCTGATCTCCCAGCCAGGTCTGGTCTGCCCATGCTGTCAACTACTATAGTGTTTGTCTTTCCTTTAGCAGTTAATTATGTTCTCCCCCAGGACTCACAAACTTACAAACCTTCATTGACCAGTCAAGTAAATGAGTGACCAGGCCAGGTGAGACCAGGAGGTTTAATGGGAACTATGGAGAATGGAGAGAGACACACCCCGTCCAGGCTGGTGGCCACCTGTGGGCTCCAGCCTCTGGCAGTGTGATCTCCAGGTCAGTAGACCTTCCAATTTTTTTCTTTTTAATTGGAGTATAAAATACACATAAAATTTACCATCTTAACCATTTTTACATATACTGTAAAGGTAGTATTAAATGTATTCATTGTTGTGCAAATAATCTCCAGGACTTTATTTATTTTATTTTATATTTTTTTACAGTTTCATAAATCATAACTTCTTTTCTTATTTTTCAATTGTGTTTAATAATTTCAATGCAATGATCCAGGATTTTATTATCTTGCAAATCTGAAACATTATACCCATTAAACTTGACTTTCCTATTTTCTGTGTGCAGCCAAAAAGGTGGAGTTTTGGATAAAATCACCCCATTTTCAGAATAGAACTCTCAAGAGGCCACCTGGCAATCTAACCTTCTGTCTACATTTCTGTTACTCATTATTATTTTTGTTTTTAACTTTTCATTAACTCTAATTGCTTCTTCCACTACATTTTAGCACCTGTAGTGAAAGCAGTCTGCATTTCTTTTTTTTCCCCAGAACAGACTACCAAAGATTTGTGTACACCATAGGCTCAGTTCTCAGTAACATGTGTTGATTTTTGCATTTCTATCCTGCACCAAAAATGCACTTCCTGTGTGTACCCTTTATTTTGACCTTTACCCTTCCTCTTTGGGTTGGCAAAACAAAGAGTGCCAAGGAATCTGGCAAGAGATCAACATAAGGCGGTCAGAACTAGCCAGAGATGTCTTCAGAAGGGAGGTCTTTTGTTCCTATTCTTTCTTCTATTCACATGCCTACTTTAGAGCTTAAAAAGAAAAAATGACAACAAATGGGCCTCGTTTTCTGTAAGATAATTCTTGCAAGGGGCACACTAAGCCAAAACCTTTATTGCACCTTCGTTGTTGATATTTTCACTCTTTTGAGGATGGAAATTCATGACTCTTACAGCTTTATTTAATCTCCATAGGTAAGGATGCTGTGTATTGAGAGGTGTATTTTTGATATGAAATAATTGTTGTTTAGAAATTTTTGGTTTGACTCTCTGATTTGCTTACAATAGCCCATGAGTTGGGCTGGTGTATTGTTTCCTTTTATAGATAATGCAGAGAGGTTTTTAAAAGATTTTCCCAAAGCTATACATATAGCTTGAACTTGATACCCCAGAGACTAAATTCTGCACAATATCAACTATGCCATAGCTGTCCCTTACCTATTTATACATGTTACTGTAATTGTTACTGGTCTCCAGACAATAAGCTAAAACTTTTTCCCATGTTTCTCTGTAACCCAAGCTAAATGGATTAGTACCCATACTATAGGAGCGCTTATATAGTGTTTCCCTTTACTTTTTCAAAAATGTATGTTTTTTGGTGATAGGAGAATGTTGGAATAAGGGTGAGATGGGGAAAAACTAAATATTCCATTTTTAAGTAAACAATTTTTAGTTTCATAAGATTGTTAGTTTATAAACATTGCACTCTTTTAAAAGCCTTAATTAAACATAAATTTAGATTCTAAATTATTTCATTATAAACCGAAAGGCAGTAAAGTTCAGTGAGTTTGGGAACTAATCCTCTGAGTGGTATTTATGCATAGATTTTATGTGTATCTTAAAGTCTCACTTTCTTATTTTATAAAACTATTTCTGCCCAAGCCATAAGTGTTAGATAAGGCCTTAAGCATGGAACCTATGGAGAAAGTTCAGTTCTTTAAGGAATACGTGGCCAGCTTCATGCCTCCCTCTTTCCTCTATATCCAGAAAAAAAATGTTGATTAAAAATAAAGAATAGCCATTATTGTTGTTCACTGCATACTCTCCAATTTTTTTTTCTCATAAAAACAGATGTTTTAAAAGTATTATGCTAAGGCCAGGCGCTGTGGCTCACGCCTGTAATCCTAGCTCTTGGGAGGCCGAGGCGGGCGGATTGCTCAAGGTCAGGAGTTCAAAACCAGCCTGAGCAAGAGCGAGACCCCGTCTCTACTATAAATAGAAAGAAATTAATTGGCCAACTGATATATATATAAAAAATTAGCCGGGCATGGTGGCGCATGCCTGTAGTCCCAGCTACTCGGGAGGCTGAGGCAGAAGGATCACTCAAGCCCAGGAGTTTGAGGTTGCTGTGAGCTAGGCTGACGCCACGGCACTCACTCTAGCCTGGACAACAAAGTGAGACTCTGTCTCAAAAAAAAAAAAAAAAAAGTATTATGCTAGTCATTTTTTTAAAGACAGCAAAGGTTTGTTGGTTTTGTTTTTGTAAGACTATAGAAAAGGTATTTGTCTTCTTTTATGAGTTGGTGAAAGCAGGTACCTAAAGGTACACTACAGGTACACTAAAGGTACTCCATATTGGGGGCACTGAACACTTCATTATCAAAAATACGTATTGATTCTACTTTGGAGCTTATTGACCTTGACAAAAATTCTTCCTACTTATCAAAGTTCATACATTTTTTGCATGTGTGTCACTTTTTATTACTGAAATTTTAAGTTCATTTTCCCTAGGTGATTGAAATTATGTATCCATTTTGAGGTGGTTATATTCTCTGAAAACATGTTTTGTGTGGGAATCTTTATGCTGTGAGTTTAAACTTCTTCAGAAGTAGCTAGAGCACAGTGGGGATTGGAATCATAGAATCAGGACATGGTGGTTTGAAGGTTATTTAAGATGATAGATGTGCAGCTCTCAGCAGTGTCTGACTCCTAGTAAGCACTTAATGAGTATTAGCTACTGTTACTAATTATCAGAAGCACAGTATAGTTTTGTGCAGAAGATGAGGGAAGCTTAGAATTTTAAAAAGTGTGATATGTAGAATGTGGAGTTGCTTCATCAACCATGGGATGGTGGAGTTTGCTGTATCACAGTGCCATGGTTGATGACTGACTTAATTTTTAAGTTGATTCCTTGCACCAAAATTATTAATCTTCTTATAATAGACACTTTGAAGAAGAGCAGATCTGAATATATCTCAGTGAGAATTACTTTCCTTAAGAGGAGATTGTACATTTTCTTTGAAAGACACTAGATTTGGAGTCAGAGGACCAGGACTAAGCCAGCCCCACTACTGCCACTATGTCCCCTGGCAGATCACTTCTCCCTTGCCTTAAACCTGGAGAGTTGGACTGAATTCTTTCTGAGGCCCCAGCCAGTTCTGAAGAATCTGTAATACTCAAACATGCATTTGAATATTTGTAAAGTTTGTTACAATAAATAGGAACCTTAAAGAGGAAAAAAACAAACTGATGATATTTTTTCCATTGCATATCCTCCGTTAAAAATAAAAAGATTTTTAAACAGTGACTTTTCTGTCTTTGAAAACATCAGCACATTTACACAGGAGCTCAGTTAGGGTGGGGAGGACATCGCTTTTGTCACATAACTAGAAAAGGAGGTTACATTTCTTGGGCATGTTGATTGAAATGTCATACAGTGTAATTTGTAACTGCTCAGTGGAGTCTTTCTGAATTTGTTTTTCCTTCTCCCTTTATTTTTGTTTTTCATTACAATAGTTAAAGAGCTTTCATTGGCCATGAATAAGCAACCTAACTTTGAAAGCCTTTATCTACGTGTTCTATTTAACAGAGTTTCTTTATCTCTTTTCACATACATCTCAGCAGGGAAATTCTAATACGAATGTTCTTCTTCCTAGCTGATGCTTCATTTAAGTGCAACTGCAAATTAACTGTGTCTACTCAGTGACCTCAGCAAGCAATGTCCCTGGTAATAGTGGCCTAAGAAATGTTGGTCATTATGAATAAAGATAACTCTTTTAAGTAGTTTTTAAGTCTTTGGGCTTGATTAGTTAATATAAATGGATTGTTCAGTAATGCTAGTCACAGTAGAGAATCGATCCTGTGTTCTAAGTGTAAATCTCTTTGTGCTTTAATAGAGAGTTTCAGAACTAGCTCCACATTTCCCATTAAGTCTGCTGGAGAAATAGTTAAGTGTGTATTCTTCTTTACCATTCAAATCTCAATCATACTTTAAGAATGTAGGTATCGATTCTCTGTTTTTGTTTATAATTTTATAGGAAATTATCAGCTCCTTGCCTAACATAGTAAATGATAAATATGGAAGGAAGGTCCTGTTGTATTTACTAAGCCCCAGAGATCCTGCACATACGGTTCGAGAAATCATTGAAGTTCTGCAAAAAGGAGATGGAAATGCACACAGGTAAAAGCAAGTAGAATGGCTTGACTCCTTTATTCCTCTGCTCTGAATGTTCACTGCCAGTGGATAGCACATGTTCCAGAAATCCACTCACACATCCATGCCGTTTTTGAGAGCTAAAACTTCTCACAAGGCGAATTCTATTTTTAAGCCTGTCGTTTTGACAGATTCTTAAAGTTTTTATCTTGAAAAGGAAATATTTAATAAAAGGGTCAGGCCAAAAGAACACCTGAATGTCTGCCATATAGTAGGCACTTAGGTGTGGGGTTTGGTTTTTGTTTGTTTTATTTTCAAAGCTTCTGGTACCATACATTTGAGTACCCTAGAGAGTGGAGTCCACACAGAAGTATAAACGTGTTCTCTTGTGGGATATTTTTTTGCTTGGTTTTTGGATTGATGTGTTTCTTTGTTTTTGTTTTTTGTATTACATAAGCCAACCTTCATTTGGTGAGTGCTTGTTCTGCGTCAGGCCCTATTCAGATCCTGGTGACAGAGAGATGAAAAACAGACCAAAGATCCCCTCAAATCACTCATTGTCTACATGCTCAACAGAAAGAGACAATTATAAGAGAGTGTGACACAGACTGTGATAAGCTCTTAGAGGTTTTTGTGATAATAAGGTCACCATATTTCCTTTGTTATTTATCTTACCTTAATACCTCCTTCAACATATTCCAACAGTAAGAAAGATACAGAGATCCGCAGACGGGAGCTCTTGGAATCCATTTCTCCAGCTTTGCTGAGCTACCTGCAAGAGCATGCCCAGGAGGTGGTGCTAGATAAGTCTGCCTGTGTGTTGGTTGCTGACATTCTGGGATCTGGGACTGGAGACGTTCAGCCTGCCATGAATGCCATCGCCAGCTTGGCTGCCGCAGAACTGCATCCTGGTGGCAAGGATGGAGAGGTAATGTACTGTTATAAGACAGGCAGGAAAGCTGCAGGGGCAGCAAAGACTCCAGTGACTATAAAGAGATTTAAATGATGATTATCTCAACTCACCTTATACCAACAGTAGATTTGGAAATTGTGAATTCACAATGCAGTACCGTTACAACCCTTGTCTGTTTTAGAAACCTGCTCCATAGTACCTCCAGAGTAAAAGCAAAATCCTCTTGCTGTGGCTTTCTGTTGTCTGTGGTTGGCCCCAGACTACTTTTCCAGCATATTCTATGCTCATATTTTGATTTCGAATATGCTATGGGTTATTCTTCCCCCAGCCTAGCATGCCACCCTATTTTTCCGTTTCCCTGTGCCTTACTCATCCATGGTTCCCTGAACGCTTCTCCGTGAAATGTTTCCTATTGCCTCTCATTAGAAAACACTTGCTCTTTCTGGTAGTTCCTGCCTGTGTTATTAGGGCCTCATACTCTTCTGCCTTGCATCTTCCGTTCACTGATTCACACACCTCAGGTATACAGTGGCCAACGCTGCCCTCCCAAAGCTTACCATTCTGGGGAACACAATATTTAAATAAATATTTTCACAAGTAATTATTTCAGTTAGTATTGAGATTAGGGCTATGAAAGAAAACTACAAGTTTTATGGGAGTGTGTAAGAGCCACCCTTCTCCCCAGGAAGGCTTCCCAGTGTAAAGCTCAGCTGAGACCTGAAGGATTAGTAGCTCAGTGAAGACTGGTAAAAGATTCGAGAAAGGAACAGGTTGTGCAGCAGTCCTAAGGAAGAAAGGACCTAGGCACGTCTGAGAGCAGAAGGCTTGAAGTAGGGATGGGGTAGGGGGTGGAAATCAGTGAGCAAAGGGAAGGGGAAAACAGAGGCCAGATCACACAGGGCCTTTGTCCTACACTGGGTTGTAAGCTCCTGACAAACAGACATTTATGGGGAACTTGCTGTTTTCTGAAGCTCTGCTTTCATTTAATTCTCACAGCACCCTTTCATTATTATCCTCAGTGTTACAGTTTGAGGATATGTGATAATTTATTCAAGTTCCATGCCTTTCATTCATTAATCAAAAATGCAATAAATCCATACTGAATGCTTCCAGAGGCACTCAAAGATGAAATGACAGGGTCCCTGCCCTTAAAGAGCTTGAGATCCATTGTAGAGACATGTATAAGGAAGGCGTTACAGTGCAAAGTAGCTGTAACAGTGAGTTATGTTCCGGATGCAGTGGGAACTGAATAACATCTGGATTTAGTCCAAATCTAAGAACGTCTCACTAGTGCCACGAGTAGTTATTTTGCTACAAATAATAGAATGCCTCACTCTAGCAGTGAGCTGCTTAATTACCACAGTAAGAAAAACAGTGGTACATAGCTCCAGGTGTGGTACAGCAACCCATCATGTCACCTCCCAGGCTCACTGTCTTTGAGGCTCTTGGTGCCTTGTGGTCACAAGCTGGCTTTCACAGCCTCAGCCTATGTCTCCCTATCAGGGTCCCAAGCAGGAAGGAAAAAGCAAGAAGAGTTGTCTTCCTGGCACTGGGAAGTAAACCTCCAAACAGGCCTCCCTGGCATTTTACTGGGGAGAACTAAGTAGAATATCCACTTCTAGATCAATTTCTGGAAGAAGCAATTGGATTACTAGGACTGGTTGAGACCAGGCCAGATGTGTCCCCTGAGATTGAGAAGGGACTTTTAGAAGATGTGGGTAGAGGTGTTGGGATATCAGCAGGGAAAAAAGGTGGAGAGGGAGATGCCTGTTGAGTAAACATCCAAGAGCCGTTTCCACAGCAG